CCCCCCCAGACCAACCTGGACACCCCCCCCAGACTCACAGATGCCTCCTCGACTCCCCAGACTCCCCCAGGCCCACCCCAGACACATCTCCCTTCGATGCCTTCAAGGCCAGCAGCTTCATGTGAGGCCCCCCAAATCCATTCCAAAACCTCGGTGGCCCCACCAAAACCATCTTGGAGCCCCCAGGACTCTCAGATGCCCCCCAAATCTACCCAGATCCCCCTCCCTTCAGTGATGTGGCCTTCATGTGAGCCCCACAAATTCCTCCCAAAACCCTTGTGTACCCCCCAAAACCCTCATGGACCCCCCAAAATATTCTCTGAGACCTCCCCAGGTACCCCCAGGCATTCCCTGAACCCTCAAAACACCCCAGGTCCTCTTTTTTGGTCAAGGTGGTCAACACCTTTGAGGCTGGCTACTTCACATGAGCTGCCAAATTCACCCCCAAATCTGCCAAGACCCCCCAAAATATCCCCAAATCCCCCCCAAACACCSCCTTGATGCCCCCCACCCGCAGATGGTGCCCACGGAGCTGGTGGAGAAGGAGTTCTGGCGCCTGGTGAACAGCATCGAGGAGGATGTGACAGTGGAGTACGGCGCCGACATCCACTCCAAGGAGTTCGGCTCCGGCTTCCCCGTGCGCGACGGCAAACGGCGCCTGTCCCCCGAGGAGGAGGTGGGACAGGGACACTGCCACCGCCCCGGGGGGCTGGCACCATCCTAGGGGGACTGGCACCATCCTGAGGGGCTTTGTCACCATCCTGGGGGAGCTGGCACTGTCCTGGGGGCATTGATACCATCACTGCCACTATCCTGGGGCACTGGCACCATCCTGGGAAGCATTGTCACCTCCCTGGGGGCACTGCCACCATCACTGGCACTATCCTGGGGCGCTGGTACCATGCTGGGGAGCTTTGTCACCATCCTGGGGGCACTGCCACCACCTAGTAGGCATTGTCACCATAACTGCCACTGCCCTTGGGGGCACTGACCCTGTAGGGCTACACCATGGGCTCCAGGAGTGTCCCTGTCCTCAAGTGTCACCTCATGGTACTTAAGAATTTTCCTGTCCTTGCAGGGTGGTGATACAGCACCAGAGTCCTTGGGGGTGTCCTTGTCCCTCCAGTGTCACCCTGTGGTCCCTGGACCACAGTGTCACCTGTGGGATGGTGTCCCACAGTCCCCCCATGGTGGGGGTGATGGCATCCCTGATATTGTCCCTGTGGTGGGGGTGATGCTGTCTTTGTGGGGTGACACTGTCTCACAGTCCCTGTCTCCATGGTGGGGGTGACAC